TTGCCACTCACGTTCAAGGCCAAGACGGCCGAGGAGCTTTTGATCTAGAAAAGGTCCGAGAAAAAATATATGTATATGCCTAGGGACTGAAAACCGGACCCACTTTTCTGACATTTTTGGACTCCACGACGCTTGGTCATGTCATCGCATGGTGTTGGGGGGGGCGGGGGGGGTGGGGTGAGGGTCAAATTCCCCGCAGTGGAGCACGTAATGCATAGTATCCCTGGATTCAACTCACAGTCCAACAAGGTTCACAAGAGCGAGTGGGCGAAGGCGATCGAGCGGCTGTTTTCACACGCACATACCTTGAGCCAAATGTTCTGGCATGTCAATGCATTGCGTAAGAGCATATCGCAAGATACTGTAACCAAGTTGAAGCAATAGCGTAAATGGGGGCCCAAAAACAGAAAACATGGGGGGGGGTGCTGTAATTTCGTTCTTGTTTTCACATACGTCTCATGAGCATGAAGGCTCAAGACGTAGCCACGGTGTGTGCTTTAGTTTTGTTGTTTCGGTTGTCGGGTGTTCCTTGTCCTCCTCGTTTTTGTGTTTTCTTCCTTTGTGGTGCGTCAGCCCTTTTTCTTTAGAACAGTACGTAGACGGCTTAACTCGTGATTGTTCTGACCCTTGAGTTGCTTTTGTTCACGAAACAGGTTTGGGTTCAGATCGTGGCTGGGTAAACTGGGAGCAGGTGTTAGAAACTCGTTTTTCGTTGTTCACACTTTGGTGCAATGTGTGGTTGAGGTTTTCTTTTTCGAAAAACATAAACTAAGTCCTTTTCTGTTGGTGACTGTTGGTGTTGAGTTGGCGTTTGTTGCGTAGTTGTAGCGGCTCCATGTCGGATGGGTGCGCCGCCGCTGATTTGCTCGACAATGGCATCGATGAAAAAGACTTGCGCACGGAGCCTGACTGGGGACAGCTAGATACACAAAAAGCAGGCAACTTGAGGTGTCGCGAAAAAGACATTTTTTATTTAGGCAAAACGCATGACAAAGCGCTGCGTTTACCAATGAGTTTGACATGAGAACAGGCAAACAAGGGTACGGTTTCCAATCCGTACGGATGTATATGGACCACCCATGACCTTGAGTCACAAACACAAAGAAGATACACTCAAGGCAAGGCAACACATATACCATACAGTAATAACGTTCTTCATATCCTGCACTGGTAAATCATAAACAACAAGTCGAAAATACACAGCCTGGACACAGCTTTTTTAGTATAGATGTTTTTTTCGACTTTAGCCAAGTCTACACACATTGTACCTTACAGCCAGCGCATCAGACAAAGCAGGCGCAAAGATAGTACGAACAATAGCATTGCATTTTGCAATCCCTTCGAGTTCATTGGGACTTGCATCTTGAATTCCCTTTTGAAGTTACTAATTTACTAAATTTTGTCCTTTTGAATGTCTTTTGATTCCTCTTGATTTCTTTTATATTCTTTTGTCAATTTTTTTGAATCTCTTATTATATTTTATTAATCTTTTTGCACATCTATTCCGCAAAGGGGTTAGGCCAGTACACTAGAAATCTTGAAAAATAAAACCCTCTACATTAATGCCTGCCCCTTTTGTCATACAAGAGTGTCCCACAAGAGAGTCCCACAAGAGTGTTCCGCAAGAGTGCCCCACCAGAGTGTCCGACAAGAGTGTCCTACAAGAGTGTTAGGCAAGCGTGTCCCACAAGAGTGTTCCGCAAGGGTGCCCCACCAGAGTGTC